TCTTTTGAAGTGTTCCACACAGCCAAGTTTGAAGAATACCTTATCCCATATGCATCCCTGGGAATTGGGTTGTGTGAATGCTTATCCTCTATACTGTGTGTAAGTCTTTTCAGACTTGAGTTTGAAGGAAAAATTTAATGTGGTCAACAATTGTACTTTTCCTTTCCTATGACTGGGCTCGGGGGAGATTTGCATAACCTAAGACACATCTTCCTGCTTCTGCAAAACCACATGCAGGATAAAAGGCAGTTCTTGTTCCAGATTACTTTCATGAGTGTATGTCTTTAGACTAAATTTTATTCTGTAAAATAATTTTCTGATGTTCTGGATTAGGTGTGGGTATGCATGTGTGCACAATTCGACATATGCCAGCAGGCAAGAAAGGGAACTGTCTAAAACCAGCCTAAGGTTGACTAATAAACACAGCTTTGTTAATCACAAATTAGTTTGAAAAAGTTAATCTAATTCACTAGGAATTAAGAGACTTAAATGACATTGATTTATGGATATTACTCATGTAAGTCTTCTGCAAAGAATACATGGAGAGGGGAGGAATTATTTAGTTTGAGAGCTGAGATTTATGACTCATGTTTTCTGCTTTTCAGAGCACCCTCATAGACCGGTTTGGGAGGAAGGTGCTGCTTTGGAGAGGATACACACTGATGTGTTCTGTGCTAGCACTGCTTACCATGACCCTGTCCCTGCAGGTAAGGAGGCAGCAGCCTTCTGGCCCCTTACTCAGCACCAGCCCACCTTTCCAGTCTTACCTCACAGGAGATGTACAAAAACCTGAGCCAGTGGCAGAAAATACGGAGCTCTGCCATTCTGTCACGTGTCTAACTGTTTGATATCACCCATTTCTCACCCTCAGCATCGTTTTTTCTGGATGCATTACTTCAGCATTATCTTGATCTTCCTATTCGTTGTCTTCTATGGAAGTGGACCATGTGAGTACAGCAATGGCTGTGTTGGGAGGAAATTTTGTACCAGCAACACAATTGGCAAAGGAAGAACAGAATAGTGCCATGGTGAAAAAGTTCTGGAAATCAAGGAAGGAAGGACAGACATGTACAAGTGGGAAACAGGGAAAGGATATAGACACCTTGGATTTTATTGCTGATCACAAGATCTAAATAATTTAAAACGCAGTATCATCTCCAGAGGGTTTGAGAATGAAATTTCAGAGTGATTTTTAAAATACTCAGCTAAAAACAGGAATCTAAGCATTGCAATGTATGTCACAGTACTCATCTTGCCTACATGTTATAGTAATAATTTTCATTAACCTAGCAAGCTAAGCTTATGCCTACCAAAATGCTTCAGGTGGAACTGAGTCCAGGAGCCAAAAGGGGAGCTGGTTTTATAAATCATTGCACCACTAATGGCTACCAGTGCAATGTGGAACTGCACAGAGCCACTGGTACCAGAAAAACAATTCCAGTACACATAAGAGAAACCTAAATTAACTGCTGCAGTCCCTTTCTGGAATCAAGGTCTTTCACCCTCATAGCAGTGGCCACCTACCAACAGGCCACCTATTCCACCTGTCTGTGATCTGCCACTGCCATTGGGAGGAACTTCAGCAGGAGCAAGGAAACGAACATGCCTGGTTTGTGTTTGGCTTTTCTTTTTCAGCTGGAGCCTCTGTAGCTGTCATGGTTGAAATCTTCAGCCAGTCATACAGACCATCAGCCTTTCTGATTGTTGGCTGTATCAACTGGATGGGACTGTTCGTACTTGGGATGATTTTTCCACTGCTTGTTGTAAGTGACTCTAAGTGGATCCCTCCTTCCAGGAGAATCCATTTCTGAATGCTGACAGGGAGCAAAATAACAGCAATAAATTGCAATGACATGCAAAGCTTAGAGCTCTGTCCAAATACCAAACCTGTTCAGGAACTCTCCAAGCCTGTCAGAGGAGCAGCAACAGGACTCAGGTAAAACATGGCCAGTGGAAACTCCTGGTTTGATACCTGTCCTGGATTGTGTACTGAGCACACTTTTGAATTTTAATTTCAAAGACATGGGCTTGCACTAAAAGGCAGGGAAACAGAAATGAGATTCTTGTTTTCCTTACAGTGTCTCATTTCTGCTTGCAGGATAACCTTGGACCCTTCTGCTTCCTCATCTTTCTGGCAATTCTTGCTTTATCAGCAATTTTCATTTACCGATATCTTCCTGAGACCAAGGGAAAGTCAATAATGGAAATAAAAGCAGAGTTCAACAAACTAAACTTTGGGAAAAAAGAAACCTCCTTCACTGAAAATAACTTTCCTAAGGAACAGTTGGCTTGCACGAAGCTCTGAGTGTTCAGAGGAGAAATTTGCATCTCTTAGAAAAGACAGGAAACAATGTTGCAATAGAACTAAAAAGGAAACATTAAAACCAGACTGCAAGATCTTCTGTCTCATTTATTTTTTTTCTTTTCCCTTTTCCTTTTCTTTTCCTTTTTTTTTTTTATAGCTATGAAACTCATCATGCCAGAGTTCTATTTCTGGATGATATCTAAATGTTTTCGCTGGAAATTTCCCCACTCAGTTTCAAGACATAAAGGTTTTTTTCACATTAAAAACCCTTTTATGGTAGTACATCTTAAGAATATTTAAAACATTCTGTTAACAGCCCACAGGGCCCAAAGAAGAGCATACACACAGGCTCTGCTCACAGTCCTGGACCCACAGCCCTGGGCCTCAGTTGGTGTCCCCTGTTCCCAGGGTCCTGCCCAGTGCCACAGATACCTGAGCAGTCTGTTATTGGCCTTTCCTAAAGGAGACCTCACTAGCAGGAAGTACCTCATAACCAGGAACCTGTTGGAAAACAGCTCAGAGAAGAGTATCAGAAATGTGAAAGACTAAGTAAAATAATTTAAGAGGACAAACCGAGAGAAAGAAGGATTAAGAAGACTAAATGTCATGAGGATGGGGAAACACAGAAGTCTGAAGTACTTGGCTAGCAGGCAGACAGAGGAAAAGCTAGATATGGCATTTAGGGTGACCTGAGCAGACATGGACTAAAAACTTAGCACAGCAAATGAGGGAAAAAGGTTCCAGCATGACAACAGAAACAAATATTGAAAGTGAAATTGTACTGTGCAACAAACCTTCTGGAGATGTAATGGAAAGCTCAGTGGAGAACATCCCAGTAACTCTAGGCAGGGAGAAGGACCTACCAAACTGACATATTATTGTATGCAAAAGAAGAAAAACGGCTGCTATAAAGTAAAGTAAAGGACACTCCCGAGAGCATCTCCGGTGTCTAAGGAACAGATTTCCAACCTGGTACATCAGCTTCTGGGAATTACATCAGATGTTTTCAGAGAAGAAAGAGTTTGTTTTGGAAGTGTTTTTCTTGTTATGTAAGCAAGCTGCAAGTAAGGAGTGATTATTGTACCCAGCAGTAAAAATAGGCTGTGAATTTCATTGGAAATAGCCTAAGTTTTTCCAAGTGACCACTAACAAGTATATTTGTGACAAGATTTGTGACTAAAAGCTTTGGGTCATGCCACCTGCTTTCCTCTAACCACTGAAGAAAAAAATAATCAGTATTAAAAACTGCAGTTCTTCTCCTTACAGATTCAGGTGTCACTTGAGTTTGTTTTTAATGCACTGACTTAGGAAACGTGCTCTGAAAAGGCCCTTCGTAGAAACAGATTTTACTTCTGGTGTTTTTTGAGGGCCTTCATTATTTTCAGAATGCTTTGCATATAGGAGACACAATCCACTGACATGGGCTGTAGGTGAACATTGACACATAGTAATTCATCTCCCAACTTTTTATTTACTGACTTTTTTACAGCGAGGGAGCTACAGTGAAGGAACTGACTTAAAACCAACATACACCACACAACCATAGAATCACAGAATGGCTTGGGCTGGAAGGGACCTTAAAGATCATCCAGTTCCAACCCCTCAGCCACGGGCAGGGATGTCACCCACTAGATTGAGTTGCTCAGGGCCCAGGCCTGACCTTGAACAAAATCAGCTTAAGCATGTTCTTACAGAGGCTTTCACCATTCAAAAAGTATTGGCTTAAATTACATCATTAGAGTACAAACATTTAGTCCGAGCTACACAAAGTTCTTCCTCTTTTCCAAAGCCTGGAGAACCAAGTTAGTAGAAAAGGCCTTACCTCAGAAACTACTGGGCATAAAGACACTCATCACCTTTAACATGGAGAGATTAACAAACCATTTATTTTACTCCCATCAGCATTTTCAACCTGCTCTCCTCACACATCTCACTGCAAACACCCCCTGCCCAGTGCCATATGATCCCTCTAAATCGCTTCTCTCATGTAAGGCTCAACTAGGCAGCAATAAGAACTGATCCCAGCTCTGCCACATACTCCACTCTGGATAAAAGCCTCTCATGTCAGAATGCCTGTGGATTTCCTATCTCTCAAGAGTTATGACTGCTATGGGACTATTTGCACAACAAAGGAACAAGTTGAAAACAAGCCTTCTCCAGGCGTGTAGAAACCAGTGCTCACCACAGTGGAAAATCAAGATCCTGATTTTAAGGCATCTTTGTCATGACTCAGTTATGGTTCAGGAAAGGTCTGCACAACATGTGCTACTGGGGTTTTTCTGTTATGGTCTATTCCACAGAAGGAGTTCCAGACCTCACAACTGAGTCATCCATCTCTCTTTTTTTTTTTTTTTAATAATAATAAGACTTGCATAAAGAGGTACATTATAACTCTGTCACACTCGTTTTTTCACTGGTTTCACAGTCAGGCTGTATCCAAATATGAAGTGTCATCTTGGATGCTTTGGTTTCCAGAGTGCAAAAGCCAGGTTCCCTGCCAGGACAGTCCATTGGCAGTCTGTGTGAGCAGCCTGCAGATGGCACATGCAGCCTTGTCACCCCTCCCGGTGCACCTGTGGAAAGCATCACTGACTATTTAAAGGCTCCCGAGGTGCTCACCAGCACAGTGGGGGGAGCCAGCTTGCAGGTGAGTTAGAAACAAAGCTGTGAAAGAAAACCTGCTTGTGATCCAAAGATGCCTAAATTCATTGTTAACACAAATATAAGCAAGGATAAGATTCCAGAATTTTTCACAGGGGAGCTGACCCAACAGTTATCAAAAGCATTGGACAAACCAGCACAGGTAAGTCCAGATGCTCAAATGTTTTCTTTCTTTAGTCAGTTGTGCCTATGCAAAGAGCCACTTCTCAGTGATAGCCTTGATAAACTAAGATGCCTAATGACTCACCAGTATTTGCAGTCCTCTCTCTGTGAAAATATCAAATACTTGTTTGCTGTAACTTGAGATCTCAAAGCACTGAAGTATCTAAACAAGCCTTGTGTTGGATAATATTCACTGTAGGTCTCTGTGTAGGTGAAGACACGGGATGTGTGTGGGTGTGTGTGCACAGGTATCTCTGTGAATACCTCTCAAGAACCTGGTTGACTGAAAGCAAAAGTCACCCTCAGCTTCCTCACTGAGACCTGCTGAATATGTGCTTGTTATCTGCCACCAAATTGCCTGTAGCCTGGTGGTTACAGTTGAACTAAAACATGAGTCATTCAGCTTGCTTGGACATCTAGCAAAAAACTAGTATTCTTATGTAAAACTGATGTGTCCTCTCAATCTTAAAAAAAAGCCAATGTTTTTTATCAGTCTAGCAAACAAGTACTTGCTGATGGGGGCATGGGGGTGTGTCAGCTGGTGGCTCTTGCATAACAGCTCCTGAATATAAAGCTAGAGGCCAGGGCTGGGATGCAGCTGGAACAGGTTTGTGCAGCTGTGTGGAAAGGATATGTAACGGGACTTAGAAATATACAGGGAATAACAAAGAGATTTTTCTGAAGAGGACATACAAGCTTTTCGTGACAAAGGAGGCAATAGGAAAGGGAGAGCCTCTTAGTTATAACACAGAAAGAAGGAAAGGATTAGGCTGGGCTGGAATGCAGAGCTTTCCTCTCACAGGAAACTGTACCACTTGAAAAACATACTGATTTTTAATCAAATAGGTTTTTTTCCTACTGGATGAACTGTTTCAAATATTTTCAAACTGCTCTAAGAAGAAAATAATGCCCATTAATGCTTTAGCTTGATTTTATTATTTTTTTAAATAATAATAACCTGCTTCTAGGGTAGATGTTAAAGACATACATGTACCTACATTTGGCATGAAGTTGAGACTGCACAGTGTCCAGACAGGGGAGAACAAGGCCAAGCAAGTGGTACCTCAGCATGATCTCCTTGGCTTATCCTGGACTGCTGTGGTCTGATGCACCTTGCACCCAAACAAGCTGTAAATGATGGCCAAGACTAATTACCCAGACAACTCCTGGTACTCAGGCTGGCTTGTTTTACCAAGAGGGTTAATTGCTGCTGAGTTCCAACGATGCGCTGCTAATAAACGTGGGTAAGAACAGGACAGAAGTTAGATGGATGCCAAAGGAATTGATCCCCAGATTCCCCAGTGTGTGGATCTGACACTGTGTATTAGCAGCAGGGAAAATCGCAGGCTGGTCATTAATATTAACATAGATACTTTCTTCTATTTTTCCTGATATCAAGAACAAAAGTAGGATTAGGCTGTATTTTGTTTAATGAGGGGGATGTTGATTTAGACCTCTGCTGTGTCAGTTCACATTTACCTCAGCAGGGAAGACTGTAGCAGGAGCCAGTGAGGTGCAAAATCTCTCTGGAACGCAGTGCGGCAGCAATGCAATTGCACCCCCCACCCCTGACCTTCCCCCAGGGCAGGGAGGGCCTGGTGGCTTGGAAGAGGTTCTGGAGATATTGCAGGTCACTGAGCTCCTGGAACACCTGGACTAGGAACCAAGACTCCCAAGCCTAAATAGTATGGTGTCTTTGTAGCTTGACACAGCAGTGACTGTCTTGGAGTAGAATGCAAATCTAGACAGTAAGACATAAAAAGCATGCACCTATTTTCACTGCAGTTCAGGTACATAAATACCTTCCTGGATTTTCGAAACTTTTCTTAATATGGCAAAGGAAAATAATATTCCTTTTCTTCTTCCAACAGTATCTAGCAATACAGATCTCTCCTGATCAGATGATGTCCTTCAGTGGCTCCACAGACCCTTGTGCTATATGCTTTCTCTACAGCATTGGCAAGATAGGGGAGCAGGAGAACAAGGTCTACTCCAAATTGCTTTGTGATCTGCTGAACAAAGAGCTGAAAATACCATCTGAGAGGTGAGTCCACACAGCAACTTGTCTGACATGACTTTCCATAGATTGTGAAAACTATTCATCCCAGACTTTTCCTCTGGTGTTCTTTGTTAATGTGCTAATTGAAGAGATTAAATGCCGAGTCAACTGGAACAACTCTCCAACTGAAAAGAAGAAAGGAGCAATTGCATGAGCCACAATGCTGATGTCCAGAAACTGTAAAATTTCTTAGTTAAAATTATGTGGGTTCAGGCACTGCATATACCCACAGATCTCATGTGCAAAAGCCCAGGTACAGACACAATAACTTTGTTATTATAATGATAACTTGAGTGACATGTACCAGCATTTCCCTACTACCTGTGGGGTACATGTGGAAGTCAACTGCAAGAGCTTCCACTTGCATAAAAGCCTTTCTAGTCCTTTTCCTGAAGGTGTGCCAGTCTGCTCCAGAAATAACTGCAAATAAAACACCGTATCCTGAGAGCTCCTTAAAACAAGAAGTAGAAAATCACTGAGAACTCCAGAATGCACAAAAGGCATTAAAAGGAGCAGGGAGAAGGGAGTGCAAGGCCTGAGAAGTGTAAAACCCTGTGGGATAGTCTGCAGCATGGCTGTGTGTCCTGTTGCAGGAGCACCCTGCAGCAGTCTGCTCTCAGCACCTAACGGTGTCTGTCTTCCCTTTCAGAATCTACATCAGCTTCTTCAACATCAGCCCTGGCAATGTAGGCTGGAACAACAACACCTTTGCTTGAGGTGTCCTTAAGTGGTAAAAGTTTATTCCTGACCCCTCAGCCTGATTTAAGTACTGCAGTTCATCATGTTACCGGTACCTGACAAATGCAAAAGGCAATGGCACCATAGTTGCTGCTACCCACTGCTGTTTAACATCTTGTCTGCTGCTTAAATAAAAATCCAGCAGAAACCTTATGACTGAGACCATCTTGTTACTCTGGAAAGACCTGTGACTGAGATGGAAAGTGCCTTCTCAAAATAGTTGTAACAGAAGCTTTTCTTTTAAAAGCAGTTTGATCATGGATGATGATGATGAACACTCCACTTGGATATGTCTTTGCTCTGTTCATGCTCAAGAGCCTGGCCAAATTTAAAGGAACTATCTTGTTCTGATCTCAAGACACATTTAAGTCAATAGATGTGGCTATAAATGTGGCATATGAACCTTCCTTCGAAAGGAGGAAAGAAATGATTGCCCCCTATTTAAAAAGGATGGATTGCAGTCTGGGTCCTCCTTAGCTCTAACACTACATGGGCACCTAGCTGATTAGCAGAAAAGCCTGTGCTGTGAGTCTCCCAGGGCTCAGCATAGGCAGAAGGAGTGAGTGGAAAAAACCACTGTTCCCTGTTCTGCCCTCCCCTTTTCATCCACTGAACAATCTGTAGTGACAGCAAAGATTAGAGCATGGCTCAGAATGAGGCAGAGGCACAGCAAGCCATTCCCAGAGGCTGAAGTGGTGAATTAATTATGAAAGGAATATAAATATTTATTATTCGAGCCCTTGGTCAGATAAGATCGTTTGCTTCCAAACTAAAATAAAAGATTGAGTAGAGATAAATTTCCTGAAAATCTACAGTTAGGTGTATTGTGACCTTTTTCTGGAAGAGCAAACCCTATCACACCCCTGTTCTGAGCTCTGTTGTGAACACCCCGTTTTGTTCCTATCACAGCTTTGCTTTGCAGACATGGGCTTTAAATACAAGCCTGCACCTCAACTTGCAAAAATGCTTTGCTGGGATAACAAATGAAAGCTGCTTTGGTGAATCAAAGTAGCACAGCCAGTAAAACAATGTGTCACTTGGCATCTAAATACAGCATATCTTATTAAATATTGTTCATGCCACTTTAAGCCATGTGGAGCTGCCCCTTGAGGAAGGAAGACATGACATGAGGTATGTATTCTTTGGGCAGAATGGCCCCTAAACGCAGCAGGACCTTCCACAGGGGGGCAGTTTCCTTCTCCAGAAATCAATCTGCCTTTTTCATAGAGCCACTCACTCAAAGAACGCTGCCTCTGCTGCTCTTGGAGCCACAGCACCAGCATTCTCCAATGTTCTCCTGGCTCCTCCTCCGTGGTCCAGATGCCCTGTGCTCAGGTTTTGGCTGTGGTGCAGTTGGGTGTGTCCAGTTGCAACCCATGGATGTCCCAGCCCTCTGCAGTCAGTCTCCAGGAAAGGCTTCAGCCTGCCCCACATATCTGCTGAGGCCTCTCTATGGTGGATGCTTTCAGAGTTCTACTTGGAGCATCCAAAACCCAGAATGTGTGTTCCTAAGGCACCTCATGGCACAAGTCCAAATGAGACCACCTTTGCTTGCTAGCAGTCCTTATATTCTCTAATAGGGAATGTAGAAGATGCCTTTGCCTCTGCCTCTGGCACATCATTAGAGTGCTCATTGGCATATTTCCATAAAACATTTTACTTTTCAATTTTTTGCTCTTAGACACATTTCTTCATTGTTCTTATTTTAATTACAAGCAGTTGTTTTTAAAAACAGGTGCTGTGCATCCAGAAATGATTTATGAATGTAGGAGTGTGGAGCAATCACTTGAGGAACGGGTGAGCACAAGTACACTGGTGTTTGGTAAACTGCTAGAAACGCATCTCTAGAAGCTATGAAAGTGTATGCACTGCTTCTTCCTTGGGCAGGGAGGCAAAGGAGAACAACACTGCAGATATCTCTCCATTGTGTAGCAGCATGGCCAGGGGCTGCCATTTGGCCTGGCAGGCCACAGAGCGAGCTCACCATGTGGTGACATTGCTCTCAAGTTTTTCTTCCTGCAGGGATAGAATTCCCACCCCACCTCCATGCAACAACTCTGGGAGGCAGGAGGATGGGAGGAATAAGTGCAATAAGTATGCAATGGTAAGGAGCTGAGGTGAGGATATCCAAGGAAGAAAACTTAATCAGTTCTTAATCGCTATTCTTAAGCACTGTTAATCACTACAAAAAGAAGTGCTCCCGTTCTCAACATTACAGTCTGTGTCACTCCTAAGTATTCCTATGTAACATCATCCCTTATTCCTCATTCAGGGCTATATGTGCTCATGGGTATGACATGTACATATGGTCAAGCTCTGTAGCAGCAGCAGTGGCTGGGACTTTGTTAAAAATCAGCAGGTGCTTGATCCCTGTGTGTAAAATGTCTGGGTGGAGAGGCTCTGGGCCTGATCCCCTTTAGCCTTCCTGTGAGTCATTTGGCTCAGCAGAGCAGCGCTGCTGCCGTCGGGGCAGGGAAGAGGCAGCGTGGGGAGCCGTGCCCTGGCAGCCTACGTGCATCGCATCACACAGCCCAGCATACGGCTCGGCTCTGCTGCCCCTCACCTCCGAATAGACACGCACCGCTTCGTTCCTAAGCAAACAAAAAAATCACCTTTACTTTTTTCCAGAAGAAAAAAGTATGTGAAAACGGGCATGCTGACGAGTAATAGATAATTTTTAATTTGACTGAAAAACGTTATAGAAAATAATTAATAATTAATATGCCACCAAGGCAAACGTTTCTGCTTACATCGAGTTAAAGGTATGCACACAGTTAAACCAAACACCGTACAAATGTGCCTTTATTTTGAGAAAATAAAGATACCCTCCGAAGCAAGGGCGAGTACCCTTTTTTGCAACTGCCAGGCTAGGGCCTATAACCCTCGCCGGCCCTAATCCTGCAGAAAGCAGTGGGCGTACTACAGCGGTGGTACCACATGTGTGCTGACACCAGGTTATGTGTGAGCTGCCAGCGCGGTCGGACTCCGTTCTAGGAAGCAGCCTGCAACAAACCCTCAAAAAACGTCCAGTGGCAGCAACAAATCGAACGAATAACTGCGGGGCGAGGGGAGAGCTGGGGCGAGAAGGCTGCTGCGGGAGTTTCCGCACGCCGCAGCGAGGGCGGCGGAGAGGGGAGGCGGGATGTGTGCGTGTCCCCCCGCCCCGCTCCCTCCCCTCCCCGCCGGGCGGGGCCGCTCGCGTCTCGCGTCCGGGCGCAGGCCGGCCGGCACTATGGAGGACTCGTCTGAGTTATGATCCAATGGGACATCGATATTAGCTATCCTCTGCGCAGATCACTGTATATTTGGCTCTAGTGGTGCGATGCGTCCCGTCGCTATGCTCCGCCGTCGGGCCGCCGCGCCACCATGGCCATGTTGCTATGACAGCCAGAGTGTTGCAGGAACGCCCGTGCCCGACAGCCTCGTTGGGTGACTCACCAGCAGCTGGCAAGGCACCCGGCAAGTCGCGCAGGTGAGCGGCGGGCGGCGGGGCGCCCGGGCCGGGAGCGGGGCACACGGCGGCGGCGGAGGGCGGCGGACCCGGGCGCGGGAGGCGCCGGCGGGGCGGCCGTCGGGGCAGCGCCGCTCTCTGGGCCTGGGCGGGCGGCCGGCGGGCCCGCCCCCCCACTGCGCGGGAAGGGGGGCCTGTCCCGTGCCCTCCCGCTGCGCGGGAAGGGGCTGTGCCCGTGTCCAATTGCGTAAATGCAGTGGCCTCCCGCGCCCGGCCCCTGGCCTGTGCGGAGGCGCAGCCGGCCTGCGAGAGGCTCGCGTTCACGTAGCCGGGGCTGTGGCTGCGCCTGTGCTGGCGGTCGGGATTATGACGTCGGGAGCTGCGCCGGCGGCACGGACCTGCTTGGGCGGGGGTGGGCAGGATACGGAGTAGCTCCCTGTGTGGCGTGCCTCCCTCCGGGCAGCTCCCGGTGGTCCTCATCAACGCGGCCCCCTCGGGCCGGACAGCGCCGGACCGATAAGGCCGTTCGCGCAGGCTCATCGGGTCAGGCCCGGTGGCTCAGCCGTGATTTGGGGATGTGACTCGGCCCGCGCAAGCATTTCGGCGCTTTATCCCCGTGGCGCGGTGCTGTGGCGGGCAGGAGTGCCCGGGTGCGGCGGCTTTTGCACACACGCCTGTTGCCTAAAAGCTGAGAGCCGGGACGAGGGTCCCCGCAGCCCCCACGGCTGCGACCTCCTGAGCTGCTGATGCCTCCCCTGGATCTGGGAAGGGTGCAGAGGGCAGCGCTGATGAGTAGCCTGACCCCAATACAACTGCACTGTTTAAAGTTGGTCCCTAAAGCAAGTTTGTGTCAAGGGAGGACAGGTCAGACACGCTGTAACTGTGTTTTCCTCCCGCAGTACATAGCTGTGCACATCATACCTGATCAGATGATGTCCTTCGGGGGCTCCACCGATCCCTGCGCGCTCTGCAGCCTCTACAGCATCGGCAAAATAGGAGGGCAGCAGAACAAGACTTACACCAAGATGCTGTGTGATCTCATCTCGAAGCACTTGCATGTATCTGCAGACAGGTAAGGCTGGGACGTGGGTTAACCTCGTATATCTGGCTTCCTGAAACTGATTTCAAAAGTTGGTTTAAAAATACAAAAAGCCAGACATAAGTCCGTGTGCTTGGGAAAACACGAAGTGACTGCTTGTGGCATTTTCATGTCCTATTAAGAGTTTGATGCTTATGTCTTCCCCTGGAGAGTTGTCTGTTCAATGGCTTCCTGCTCTCAGGACAGGGAAAAATACCACAGCACTGACAGGTTGCACAGTGTCTTTTGCTTCTGAGGTGTGATGTCTTGTCCTCTGGTGAAGAGAGGCTGAAAGCACATGGGAGGAGCAGTAACAGGCTGGAGCTGAAAGACAAAGTGGAGGCCAGCAGGCTGTGAGCAGCTCCCTTGCGGGCTGTGGAGCCTTGGGAGAGTGTCTGTGTGCGGCTGTGAAGAATGGGGAGAACCTGCTGCCATGGGGGCTGGAAGGGAGACATGCAGAGCCAGCCCTGAGGGCATGCCTGGCTCTCTGGGGCTGCCCGTCTCTGTGACACGCATGAGGGACTGCAGTGCTTGGAAACAAAAGGGTTTGATCTCTGGAAATTCTTGACAGGCTGCTAACCAAGAGCTGTCTGGGTGTCTGGGCGGCCCCTGACTGCAGAAGAGTTTATATTTTAAAAAAGAAAAGAAATACAGTTCCAGGGACTCAGAGGAATATTGACTGCTTGGAGGCTTCACCAGAGAAGTTAGACAGATTTCAGTAAAAATGAAGCTTGAAACTTCTTGAAGCAGAGGAGTGGGAAGCACTGTTCCGTGTTGTATTGTCCCATCTCACTCATGACTTATATAAGTGAGTTAATGTCATTGTTGTGTCCTCTTGTGCTTCTTCTGCAGGGTCTACATCAACTACTTTGACATGAATGCTGCCAACGTGGGCTGGAATGGCTCCACCTTTGCGTAGAGCTCCCCTGTCTGCCTGAAGAGGCTGCTCCTGGACCTCCCCTCACCCTGCCCCGTAGCAGAGACCACGGCACAAATGGCCCCGTGTTGCATTTTGTGCACTCTCACAGATTGATGGCTCCTTTCTAGTGTGTTTAAATATTGCTGCTTCAACATTCCTCTGTTTTCTCTGTGTAGAAAACAAATAAAGATTTAGAAGTAAGCTGTGTGTGGTGTAGGCTTTGGGAGGTTAGGGATGGAGTTGGGCAACTGCTAATGTGTCTGTGTCACTCTGATCCTAAAGCAAACAAAAGGAACGCTTTGGATTTGCCTGTTTTTTTCTCCAACGCAGTATTTCACGGTACAGTGGTAGTACCTGTGGCTGCTTCCCAACGGCACTGCAGGGTGATTTTTACCTTGCTGTGCCCCAGCGGCTGTAGGTGCCTTTGGGGCTCCTTGTCACTCTGAGGTTTGTTTTTGGCCTGTGTCTGCAGTTGCCACAGTGGCAGCAATCCTTTGGCCAGCCCTGCGCCTGCTCCTTCAGGGCAGCTTTCCCCTGGGAACGTGCCAGCTGTGTGGGGCCAAACAAGCAAGGAAGGAGTGCTTTTGCTCACTGAGGTGAAACAGTGTCATCCACATTGCTTACACTGCCTGCTCCAGGCAGCAGGAGAGGCCCTTGGTGCTGTGGGAGCTGTGCTGGAGCCTGCAGCGCTGTGGGAAGCTTTGGTGTTCTGTGCTAATGTGTCCTGCACTGTCTGCCAGCCTGTCCCACACGGATTTTGTGCTCTCTCCTACCCTGTCCTGCACAGATGCTGTGCTCTCCCAGCCCATCCCACAGGGATGCTGTGCTCTCCGAGTGTCCCGCACACATTCCGTGCTCTCTCCCAGCCCGTCCCACTCCGACGCTCCCTGGGCAGGACGTTCCCTCCCCTCAGGGTCCCCTCAGGGCGC